GAGCGAGAGAGAGAGAGAGAGAGAGGAAGTGAGAGAGCGAGAAAGAGAGAGAGAAAGAGAGAGAGAGGAGTGTTGTTTTCTAACAAGACTCCTTTATTTGCAGCTCAATGAAATGCGGGCGCTCTTCCAGGGAACGAAGCTGTATCCTGGTGCACCGTTGGGAAACAACTACCGGCCACCGCAGCCGATCTACCATCGGCCTCTACGGACTAACATCGATTTTAACTTCAAGCAGGTGCGCGTGTCGATCCGGACGCAGCGCTGTTTTGGCGAATAAAAATCAATTTAATATAGACATAATAGAATAGTAAGAGTATAGTAATAGCATATAGAATAGTAGGAGTTCGGTCAACGCGGTCTCCAAGAATCAACGTGTATACGATGTACAGTTTTCAGTTCACTTATGTCACTACTCCGTACACATTGTATGACGTATCATAGGTATTTGCGCTTTGCATAAGGATACATATATCGTACGCACATTCTTGACATGCGTAGGGACACCACGTATGTTGAATAGTATAGCGCATCTTTATTTTATATGAATATAATTTCTCTTTTATAATCGCATTCATAGTACAGAGATACTGCGCGTGTTGAATAGTTAATCGTTTCTATTTCATTTGAATCCAATTGCTCTGTTATAATTACGTCAATCTAAGTGTATCTAATCGTGTAATGTAATCTCGTGTACTTGTGTAGTGTAAATGTAATCTAAATCGGGTTGTATGATTAGCTAGTATTACGAACGCATGCACTTGACGGTGATCATTCTGTTAACCTTGTGTTTCATGCACTTCAGAGCCGGACGTGTCCCACGATGAAATACGAAACATATTATCAAGGTAATTTTTTTCGAAAATCACATAATACGGAAGGTTGTCAATATTATCACAAACGTTCGGCAACGTATTTAAGTAACTGGTAATTCCGTGGTGATGTTTTTCCGGAGAGAAAACATAAAGATTTAGCTAGTTAGCAATTTCGCGATGCAATCTCGTAACTTGACACTTCATTATTCTTCAACAGCGGTTCATAAGACACAAGCGAATCATCGCGGGAAGCTGCAAATTACTGCATTATTAAATTAGCATCTAATTCCATCTCGCAGATTGAACGCGCTTACGTAATTGTTTTTATAGTCAGAATGATGGTGATTTACTCGCTCATTTCCCTCGCTGTACATTAAAAGAACAGCGCTTCTCTTTCCTTCCATCTTTCTATCCATCCATACATCTATCCACCCATCCATCCATCCATCCAACAATCCATACATGCATACATACATATATCCGTGCATCTAACCACCCCTCATCAGTCACATATTTATTAACTACCTATATGACAGGCGTGATCTAATACATATTTGTGGAAGCTTCTCTATTCGTCTGTTCTCGATTCAAATCAATATTACCTACTCTAGATATGTCCAAGGATAGCCATTAGATGTAACGTTGGATGCTGAATGTCATGGGCACATTGGATTTGACCTCCGAGGTCATCTGACATCGCAAAATGAAAAAAATGATGAGAAAATCATACCCCTGCAGCAGCGTTCAATCAACGCACCCCTGTAGCGGCGGTAAATAAACCGGCCCATGCAACGGGATTCACTTTGCACTGACTTGCATGTCTGTACAATGCGCGTAACATTGAGTTACAATACATGCATTATGTTACATGCGCCATGTCATTGTCGTAACAACATTCCCCTTGCACCGACTTGACGTGATTCGGCCATGATGCCGAGGCGAGCCGAGGATTGACACTTTGTGTTCTCCCATCACAGTACCAAATCGCTGATCTCAGAAACTAGGGCATTCTGCTAGGCTAGAACGGTTTCTTACGAAAGAGTTTGGCACAAAAACGAAATTAACACACCGTTTAGCGCACTGCGCTACGTACTTCTGTTGTATTTTCGCTTCTCCGTAATCAGAATAAGCCCCGCCTTCTTCGTTAATGGGCGTAAATGTGGTGTCACCGACGTGACCAGTTTCTATACCGACTGTGTTTACTTTTCGTAAATAATGAAATGCCCGGCCGATGCTAGACTGGTAACCGTGCGCCACCTTCACTCCGGCAAGTATCCTTCGCTACACTGACGCTGTTAGTGTAGCGTGTAAAACTGTCGATCGGGTACCAGTCTAGGCCGATGCCAAACTGCATGCAGTGCACCTTCGTACACTCAGGATACTCGTAGATTGAGCCCATGAGCAAGAGCGCCATCTGTCGTGGAGTTTGGGCCGATGAGATGCATTTTCTGCGTTTTCTCCGTGATTATTATTTTGTGCAGGCACTCATTTTCGAAATCCTCCAACATTTTTACTTCTTCCATTAAGTCCATGTTTCACTGTTATTTAGGAAGGAAAGTAAAACTGTGCATTCGTATAATTTCACTCTTGCTTCTATAGTATGATTTCCATAATTTTGCTCTTCTGCCCATGATAATATTTCCCTCATCGTGAACCTACATTTTTCAGTTCGGACTCTTATCATATCGTTATAATCTCCTATATCATTAATTAAATCCCTTAGGTATGAATATTTGGTGCATTTTTTGATTACTTGGTTGCCTATTAATATCTCCTTCTCTATCCTTTCTTTGTTGGTGAATTTTATAACCATTGTATTTGTTTTGTTCATATTAAATTATAATCTTTTTGATTCAGCTAATCTGGAGCATGACTGAGCGATTTTTGTTACTGTTTTATAATCTCCAATTCCTAGAATATCGTCCATATAATAATCATTGTCATCTTCTAAAACTACAGACTATCCGCTGACCGCTGTGGAGACGTGCGCCGGGCCTCGAATTTGGCGCACTAGTCTCCACTGCGGACAGCGCTTCATACTTGAACATCCCCGCTGTCGCGTGCGCATATCCCGCGGAACTGCGCGTCTCATCCGCGCGCAGCGCTACGTCTTAGGATCAACAGCAAAGCTGTGCCACGCAATCTTGTATCATGTCACTCTGGATACAGAGTGTGCAAGACTATAGCACTATAGACTATAGCGTGTGATAGATAGATAGATAGATAGATAGATAGATAGATAGATAGATAGATAGATAGATATATAGAGAGATA